ATTGTTATATTGAATTATTGGACTTCATGCCAGGAGTGTTGTGATAGTACTTCTTGCAAACCATAACTGCAGCCAGTCAGTGGTTCCATGCCCTCTCCCTCCTGCAGGGTGTACGTGGATGTCTCTCTCATTTCCAGTGCTGGAGAAGGATTGTTTTCAAAGATAGCAGCAGAGGCCAGTACAGTGATGTCCTTCTACAACGGAGTGCGAATTACACACCAGGAGGTAAAGAAAATAGTCAGTCTGAATTTTCATTGCTCTTTGTGAAATTTTCTCATAGTAGGATTTTACACCCACCAACTTCTCACCCTTCAGATTTCATACCCTGGACATTAACTGCAAGAAAGTATATGTTCCCCTATGTCTAACTAAATGGTGGTTGTTTTTTTTAATGACTTACACACATGAAAAGCTTTAGTTGCTTATATTTTGAATGTTGACTGTCAAACTGCTGACAAAGTTGATCCCTCCACACAGACACTGGATTTTGTCTTGTAAACTAGGTGGACAGCAGAGACTGGGCCCTCAATGGAAACACAATATCCCTGGATGATGAAACAGTCATAGACGTGCCAGAGCCCTACAACCATGCTGCCAAGTACTGTGCCTCGCTGGGGCACAAGGCCAACCATTCGTTCACTCCCAACTGCATCTACGACCCGTAAGTAGTCCCATGTTCTGGGGTGGAGGCTACAGCCTGGCTGGCTGGGCTCAGGGTGTCTCTGGGCAGGTGGATGAGGAGCAGTGGTGGGTGGGAGTGATGGGTTCAGACACTGGAAGAGTTCTGCTCACCTGGGTGGAGTTGGAAATGGGCTGGCATTGCAGGTGCTCGATATCTTTTGGGACTTACACCATGGAGCGTCTTACAGTTTGCAGCTGTGTTAGTTTTGTCATGAACTTTGTGAGCTGCTTCTTGATTCTAAAATGCATAATCACAGCTCTCTAAATACTAGCTTGGCTAGGACTGCATCGTACTTGCAGAACTACTGATGCTTGACCAGCACCATCAAATGTGCTGTCCTTTCTGGAGCTCAGAATTAAGCACCTTGCTGCTCTGCAGCTGGTGCAGAGCCCTAGGAAACCTTTGGTGTAAGCATATACTCAAAGGTGTACATATTTTCCTACCAAGATATAAACAAACACCCCTGTGGATATATCTGTGTAGAAAATAGTTTTCCTTCTTTGAATAAGCCAGTTTGCTTTACTGGAGACGCTGGGAGAAGATGTACAGAGGGAAGTTACGTTTGTTAGGCAGCTAACCTGTATTAAGATGAGCAATTTTCCATGCTCTCCAGTCTTTTATAGTCTCTACTATTGTTCTGTCACACAGATGTTTACCTCTGCAAGCCCAAGGCATGTGGCAGTGATTAGCTGTTTGGCTGTTTATTACAAACATGCAATATTGCAGGACTGTTGAAAAACTTCATGTAACAGAGCTACACAAAACTGCTTTGATGTGCTTTGATATTTGCTCTTATTGCTATGGTCGACTCGAAGCAGTCTGGTCATCTGACAGCAGGTTATCTAACACTGCGCACTGCGAGGGACTGGAAGCTGTGCAAGGGGCTGGCAGGGTCGGGGAGTTGACAGCTGGGCCTGGCAGAGATGGTTTGTTCTTTCCTAGGTTTGTTCACCCTCGCTTTGGGCCCATCAAGTGTATCCGTACCATCAGGGCTGTGGAGAAGGACGAAGAGCTGACAGTGACGTACGGGTACGATCACAGCCCCCTGGGGCAGAACGGGCCCGAAGCACCCGAGTGGTACCAGCTGGAGCTGAAAGCTTTCCAGGCTGCCCAGCAGAAGTGAGTCGGGAGCGTCTTGGCACACCGAAACAGAACCTTGGATCTATGCACTACCTTTGTACTGAAAACTGGACAACCAGGGATTGTTCATGCTGTTGCATCATAACTTTGCATTCTGTGTTAAGAGATAAGTTTCTTGCATACTAACTAGGTTTGACTGTGTTACTCATAACAGATTTAAAATTAGCTAGCATTGCACCAGTCCTATCTGGAGAAGTTATTTACTATTCGATAGTAGAAGATGTGATATTCTTTGGTAGCTTCTGCTTTTGCACCATATGCAAAGATGCCAAAAGACTAGACAGACACTAAAATGGGTATATCGTTCACTTTTAGTCAGCAGACTTAGTGTTGCTCTCTATCTGCCTAGGCATTATTGTGCAACTGCATTTTGCATATATGCCACTTGTGATGATAACAGTAAATATTTTGATATTCTCTAATAGTAGCATAATTTTGCCTTTTTAAACCTTTGATCTGAACCTTGCAATAGAGCCATTTATTTATTAGCATTTAGGAGGCTGGGTTTTAACTCCCCTTTCCTCATCTGAACATCGCTCTTTCTACAAATCTTTGCAGGAGAAAACCCTTTCTAACTAGTGGAAAGGCTTGTGTGTGTATGTGAGAGTGCTGTGTGCTGGTCTCTGTGGCTCTAAGTAGTATAGCAACATGTCCACACCTAATATTTATCTGGCCTTTAGGGCTGGCTTATTCTATTTAATTTATGATTCTGACATGCAAATGAAGCTGTTCTTTGCATGGAGATTTTCTGAAATGAGAACATGGGTTTGCCTGTTGAAGGGTTTTCCAAAGCACACGTTCTGGAAGGCAAGCACACTGCGAGCAGTAGTGTCCACGGGTCTGTTGGTGTTTCTCACGCGCAGGAGCTGCAGCTCTCGCAGAGCTGCTTGGACCTGCCCGAGCTCCCTGGCGGGAGCTGTGGGCCTGGGAAGCGAGAGCTGTGGCTTTTGTACCTGCTAAGTCGACAAGGAATATAGCCTCGTAGCCATCTCTTAGTAGTACTGGTTTAAGACACAGTGAATTAATATAGTATAAGGTATCAAAATTCTAAAAAAAAAGCTAGGAAAAGATTGTTTTTGAAAGACAAACAATGAATGTACAAACATCACTCACTGCTCATGTTTAGGAACAGCAGTCAATCCATAGCTTTGTTGCAGCCAGCAGTGGGGGTTGTGAACATCCACCTGCAGGGCTGTGTTCTGGGGTTTTTCGGGGGTAGGGGGAGTGTTGTGCATTTTTTCAGATACTGTGCTGGTCTTGCCTAATGCTGTACAAGAGAGAAGTAATGTATCATCTCGGTCTGGATACTGGAGCCTTTCTGGGACTCCAATGCTCTCTTTTGGGTTTAGCAGCTTAGGGAAAACTCAAATGCATTTGTAACACTTTCTTTATATGTTTGTAGTTTAAAAAAGTTTGTATATATGTAACATAAATTGGGAATCAGACCTACCTTTCTATTGCAACACATTTTGGTTAGTTGCCTCAATGTTTGGGGGTGTCTGGCTGTCTGGGGAGCTAGAGATGTGGAGAATGTGTTGGGTCCCTGCAAGTGGAAGGATGAGGTGGCTGTTTTGTGCAGTCTGAGAAGCCTTACTTTGGTACCTGAGCAAAGTTAGGAATTATTCATAAAACCTCTCTAACCTGGAGCTCTGTTTAGTCCCTGTCATTGGCCACAAACCTTTTCCAGCACCTCACCATTTATGCTTGCACAAAAGCTGCTCTGTGCATGTGCAGGGGACGGGTAGGCTCGGGGCATTTTGGCACTCTTTCAGCAGTGATCTGAATGTGAGCTGACACCTTCATCTCCTCATGCTGGAGACTCAGGCCACAGCTCCACGTCTCACCTGAGGTGCTGGTGGAGGTGATGGCCCAGGGACTCGGCTGAGTCTGCAGAGACAGAACTGAGCCTCACAGGTGAGGGAGAGTTGTCTGAGGCCAGTCAGCAGCACAGATCCTGAAAAAGAAATGTGCATGACTGGATCTTTCCCTGCCTGCCCACAAGTTGCTGCCTTGCAGAAAAGCATGTGGCAGGGGGAGCAGTTGTGTGTATCTTGAGGGCTATTCTGCCAGGACCGTGAGGCTTGAGTTAAGTGCTGGGAAGAGGAGAGAGAGGAGATATGTGACTGAACCCTGCTAGGTGTGGATGGTAACTCCTTGAACCTTGATAACCTGCTTTGGACTGCTGACCTCTGTGCTCACTGAAGACTCATGCTTAATTGTTCTGATCTCTGGAGCTCCTTTGGCTTCACTCCTGGTCAGTCTCTGATTCCTCTGCTATCTCCTTTTTGTGTGGAGTTGCTTATGTTTTAGTAGATTTGTCAGTCTACGTATTGCCTGATTTTTGAGGTAAATAGAAGATAGGTGCTCTTTGTGCTTGAAGAGCAGATCATAAAATAGGGAAATTCTAGAAAAAAGAGGCACTGAGGTATCCTGTGTGTTCTGTAAACATTGGGTGACAGTCAAGCAGGTTCTTTTGCACATGTGTGTAGCCTGGTAGCATGCCACAGCTGTGGCTGTTGTCTGTTTGCTCTGCTGTCCTTGTCTCTGCTCTGTTGGTCCTTCTCTAGCTCCCTTCTTCAGTGACCAACCATCTATGAAAGTTATGATTACAAAGCTGCTTTGGCTTGATTCAGGACCAAGCCTTTTCATTCTTCTTTGTTTTCTTTCTCTTTTTGGTCTGTTAGAGTGGAGGTGGTTTGTACCACCGGGTGTAGTGCAAGGGCTGTGTGCCCTTCAGAGGTGTGTGCTGGCACTGGTTCAAACACAGGTTAATTACAGGACTCCAAATAATGCCTTAATTTGGCCAACGTGTTGCAGCTCAGCTTCTGAGGCTCAGTAGATGGCAAGAATAGCTTTGCAGAACTATTTGTCAGTAGTGACAGGAGACCCACACCAAACCATGATTTCTCTTTGGGGCAGAGGAAGTGGTCACTTTGCAGAGCAATCCCTTTGGGTCTATGACATGCAATAAGTAAAGAAGCTTCGCTTCTCAGAGTCTGGCCAAAGCCCTGTCCTGTCAGCACAGCCCTGGGGAGGAGAACTGGTGCCTGTCAGCTGAGGTGGGTGAGCAGCTGGCTCTCAGGATACCTGTTTCGACCAAAGAATAGTGTAGGAGAACCTGGGATTGCTGCTCTCTTCAGGTATGGATCAGTTCCCAATGTCTGCAGTGCTGCGTGTGGCTCCTCTGTGCTGGGAGGGCTGTTACCTGAGCTCCTTTGTGAGCAGCCTGTGCCAGCCTGTATTAGAGGCTGCTGATTGTCTCTCTAAAACAAAATCAGAAATTTGAAATGGATCTTCCCGCAGTGGCAGCACAGTGTTGTGTCACCAAGAACACAGAAGCCTAGTTTTCTGGAGAAGCAGTTAATCTTGGAGACAAGAGAGCATGAGAAGTTACAGCCTGAGAGCTGCCTGCTGGTGGCTCTCTCCTCTGGACAAGAGGGAAAAGGGCTTAGGCCTTGGATGGGGTGTCTCATGTTGAGTTTCGTGCTATAATTTTGCTTTCAGGGATCTATGAAGTATCCAGTTTTCCTTCATAAGTCTGGAAAGACTTTTATTCCTTTTTGGTAGTAATTATAAAAAACTTAACCTGCAAAAACACCTGTAAGTCTTAACAGTTGAAAAAGTCAAGCCATGGATATGGCCCCACAGCAGTTGGAGTGAGAGCTGTGGGAGCTGCTTGACTCGTTGGGCAGTGGCAGCGCCTGGATGGGATGGCCCTGTCACCAGTGCAGCTGCTGGGCAGGGCTCAGGGTGAGAGCCTGCTCAGCCTCCTGCTCAGCACAGCTCTCCCCTGGGATCCTCTCTGGGGCGTGGGGCATGTTGCTGGTGTGGCAGCAAGAGTTCTAGTCAGGGATTTCTCACCCCCTGCCAGGCACTGGAGGAGCAGGGTAGCCAACATACCCTGTCTGGTAAGAGAAACGGAGAAAGGGTGGAAATTGCCACTGTTCTGTTTCCTTTCCAGCTGACTGCCCTCGTCCTTCAGCCAGAACCAGTGCTCACCGCTGGGGCTGCACCTGGGGCCATGCAGCGGTCCCGGAGACCTCGGTGACTTCTGTCCTGTCGCTCAGTTTCAGTCTTTAGGAAAACGCTGCTGTTGTGAGCTAACAGGTTGTACAGAGCCAGTTATCTGCTGCTTTGTTTTCCTCATGGCACAGCACAGTTGCTGGAGCTGTAGGTGCCTGAGGAATTCACCCCCAAGCACTTCAGCAAACAGTGTTCCTGAAGTGTCTCCTTACATGCTGAGGTGCTGCATTAGGTGCTGCTCCCTCGGGCGAGGGAGGCGGGTGAGCTCCGCCCTGGGGTCAGCCCTGCTCCTTCTGCTTTGTCTACTGGAAACACGAGAACTATATTTTTGGACGAAGAATTTCTAAGCAGTCCTACAAGGGATTTTTTTTAAAACAGGTGCGAGATGGAGTGCATGTTTACTTGCTTCAGATCAAAGGTTTCGAGCACTAACGTTGCTGTCTGTGGAGTGGACCCTCCTCTTGGCGCTCTCCTGTCTTTGGGCAGTGGAGGCTCCTGCCCTCTTTCTCTACCAGTTTTACTGTAACTATATTTTTTCCCCCAGGAGAAATATACATACAACAAATGCAAGCAATTAAATGTTCAAGCCATAAAATCATGAGTGTGGGAGGAACCTTTTCACAAGTTTTAACACGTTTATATGCAAAGTTACGTTTGTATGGAGTATTTTTGTGGTAGAATGAGTATTTAAGCAAAAACAGTTCCAGTAAGATCTAACCCAAATTTAAAAGGATGTCTTTTTGTAAGGTGCAAGTGTAATTGAATACCAGTGAGCAGATGATTTTTTTAAGGGGAGATGCAACAAATGATCCTTACAATTACATGTAGTTGTTTCTGCTATTTGGGAGCTATTTATGCAGCATTACATGCAGCTGCCATAAATAATTGCAATAGCAAAGCTAGTCTAGTCTTCAGGACATACCTCTCAGCATGACTCTTCACGGTATTGTACAAACAACACATCTCTCCTCTCTGCAGATTCCCTTCTAGAAAACTTTTCCTACTGTGGCTGTAATGAATTTAACTCTGAGCTAAG